TAGAGGGTCCCAAGGATTGAGGGCACTGAACCAAATCTCAACATAAGCTCGTTGCAATTTTTCATTGCGGACAAATCTATTTGCTCGGCATTCAGATTTGGCTGAATACTGATGTCAGGCTGAAGACTAATATCAGTAATGATGTTTGCTTTTCGCAGACACCACTTTGGTCTGGACATCTGAGGCTTCCTACTAAAGGAAACAGTCGCCTTCATTCTTTTCGAAGCAGCGAGTAGATTAACCACGAAAACAGTCGGGAATTCAGAATAAACTAACTGTTTAAGCTTATATAAGTTGCTGAAAGCAAGACAGATGGTTAACAGAATGCTAGGTAAGCAAGCAGAGACCAAAACAAAAGGAATGGAAGCAGATTTTTCAAGGTAAGTACTGGTCCTTACGGATTATTCATATAGGAAAACGAAAGACAATTAGTCGTATCTTCTCTTAGATAAATCGCTTTAAAAATGATTTGCCACTTATCTTAAAATTCAAGTAGACTATGTAGGCCGAGCCAATACTTCCAGCGAGATGCCCGATTTGGAGAAAATTTCGTCGTCGAGCAGTGGGGGTATCGAAGGAAATTGGACAAAGAATCGTTAAAAAATGTTTTTTTCCTCCAATTTTTGTCAAAAGACGGTATCTTTCGGTGTAGAACTTGAAATATAATCGCCTTGGTTTTGCTCAAAAATTCAAACCACGCAGGGTTCAATTCAATGTTGAAGAAGGGAAGAAGGCTTTCGCCCTTGAGCTCCTTATTCATATCCAAAAATCGCAAAAGAGTTCAACCTTAACGGTAGTACATAATACAAATGTAAGCTTAATATCAGCGATAAGTGTGAGCCAGCTGCAAAGTGCTGCTACTGACACTATTTTCATTACATGTGTCCCAGTTTCTCAGCAAATGAGAATCACGTTTGTTTTTAAAAATTTCAACATTATCTAAGAAGACCACCTCGTCAGGGAGTCTGTTCCACGCTCCGATGACCCTCTAAGAGAAGGCGTTTCGTCGAACTTCCATATGGACTGGTTTCCTCTGCAGTTTAAAGGGCTGATACCGCAGATGATCCGTTCGAGCCAATTCGAAGAATTCGTCAAATTCTAGGGCGCACTCGCGGCCTCTAATAATTCGGTAGGTTTGGATGAGGTCACCGCGGAGTTGCCTATAATTGAGAGGTAATAGATCAAGTTTGGTCAGTTTGTCTTCATAAGGC